TTTGTCACGTAACAATATTCATAAACCGTTCGACACGACCTTTGAAGTAAAATATAATGTGTGAACAACGAGTTAACATACATAACAATACGCAATAGTATTAAGTGCTATATATTGTGCACGTGTATTATTCAAATCAGTAGTAAATTTAGTATATAATAGAGAAACACGTAAATACTCAAAACATAATACTATTATTGTCGTCGTAATCTTCGGTTAGGTTCTGTCACAGCTATGAAAAAAATACATCTACCACGTCATATTAGCCTAATAACGTGCAGTAGGTACCTATAGGCAATTCAACATTTATAGCTATGGGTATTATAGGTTTCAAATCACATTCAACTAAAAAAAGATAAATCGACAATAAAACTAGAATAGAGTTACCACAAAATGAAGTAAAATTCGTGCTATGATATAATAATAACTACTAAACTTTGGGAGAGTATGATTTTTATCGTAGGAAAAAAGCACGACGCCGAGCAAGTTTAGTGTTAAAAGTTTAACTGTTTATAAACTTACTGTATACGTATGGTTTGAAAACGAACACCTGGCATTTGATGTGGCGGTAAAATGATTCATAAATAAATCAAACAAAGGTCGAGTAGCATTGTATTATTGTTAAAGAAAAATGACAATCTTGTTGCTATTTAAAAAAAAATAATAATTTTGTGCGTGGATATGTAACTGACCTGTACGATGACAACATTATAATATGATATAATATAATATAATACTTTTGTTCCCGAGGATTCGACGGTGCTGGTATAAATGGAAAGACGTCGCCGCAGCCGGTTCTGACCATTAGACGTGCATGCTAATTTTGTTGCCGTGGATACGCCGGACAACCAAACATTGCGACGCATAACCGTCCAAAGCAGTCGTCCAACGACTTGCCTTTATCTCTACCCAATCTATTATATTCCGCCGAAATGGACTTATTCTGCATGAAAAGACGTCGTACTTTTAATTTGTATTGATCATTGGGTTCTGCTGGCCGATAATTACAAATTTCTTACCCACTATTGGTACTTACTTATATAAAATTTGCCAATATCGGTCATTGTTTCTAGAACATACAAATTAATAATTACAAAAACAAATCTAGACTACAGCTTTTAAAATGATAAATGAAGCCAATTTTTAGATTTATTTAAGGTTATTGAAACTTTCAAAGGGAACCTTTTTTAAGGGGTCAGACATAGGCAATATTCTATATCCTTCGTGACTCGTGAGTGCTAAGTGACTTAGTGTGTAATTAATGAGTAATGACCATTACAGTGCATGAGATTCCGGAACGCTTTATGTAATTTAAGATAAACTACGCCTAAGATTCTTGAAAATCCGTAACTTAGGTACATACGCGGAGGCACACTTCACTTTATTTTGTGTTCAAAAAAGTTTCTGCATGAAAGTCTCAAAAAGTGGGAAAAAAAATACCAGTACCAATAATGCCTGATTTTGATTTGAAAACATATTTGAATTTTTCATTCTGTTATCGAGGATATGAAGGAAATGGATTTTCGCTTCCTGTCTGTGTTTTGTAGGAAATACATTTTTATTTTAATTTACTTTAACTTAAGTGTTACTAAAAAAAAAATTAATTTCGTACAAAACACAGACACGAAGAGAACAAATTCGAATATTTTTTTCAAAATTAAAATTGGACTTCTGGAAGTATTTTTTTTTTTTGCCACTTATTGGTCTATATTCACGAAAAAACGACCCTCCTTCAACAGCCTTCAAGTCTGAAATTATGATTAAATCAATTGAGTAACAATAGTTTTTAGGTAACAGACCTAGTCAAACTCTACCATTATCATAATATTATCATTCATAACACTACGGATGCACTTAGACTATTAAAAATATATTATTATTGTTAAACAATGACCACGATACAGTGATACAATATAGACAATATAGTGATTTATTTGGTGGCTTAATATAGTTAATAATACACAACCTTATCTCGAATATTTAGATTAAACTTTTTCTACTACAATTATTACTGGGTATCGCGCACGTTTTGATGCTATGAATGATTTGAAAATAAAATATATGAATAAAGGCACCTACTTAATAATTTATGTTACAAATATTTCATATTGATAATAACTAAAATTGAAAATGTTTAAAGTTGTTAGTTGTTCCAGACAGAATAATTCCCATATTGTATCTTAAATTTTAAATTTTAATTCGTCAAAGGTGTATACATTTTTAGAAAAATGTAAAATAGTAAATAATAAAAAATAAATATTATATTATATAGTATTATAATTTATTTATCTGAAATATATTTATTTGTGAGTCTAAAAATGTTTGGCCCCGAACATGATGTAGTCCCAAAATCATCTTAATCCGGGTTTACTGATGTATACCTCTCTACAGTGTAAATAGGTTCGTGGAATAAATAGCGGGAAATTAATCCAAATTTTTTTGAATATTTTATACGTTGTGATAATAAGTTTTAAACCCGGAATCTATGAATAATATTTTCTGCATAACAACAAAATAACTTAAATTAATAATTATACAAAGATGTGTGTATGTTTTTTTGAAAAAATCGATTTAACTTTATTAATGTTACTCAATAACCGTAGACTTAAAATGTTCAGAAAATATTTAAATAAACATTTCCCCTACATGGTGACAATTCGAAATATTTTGACTCTTCTTGAGCTATTTTAAGTTTCAAGAAATTTTTCGAATTTTGCAACTTATTCAAAATTATTGTGGATAAATATTGTTCACTTGGTAAAAAGCTGGACAATTTAATACAAAGTCCTCTAAATAAAGTCCTCTTTTATAGCAGTTCAAAAATATTAAAGATACATAGACACGACTATTTTTATATGCATTTAAAATTCAAATTTTTTTTGGGGTCTGTCTCACCACGGTTTCGATTTTCTTCAACAGCAACTTTTCTAGTAGGAAATCTGGTTGGTACATTAGGAAGGTCAAAATTTTAAATTCCCTATAGTTTTCAAAAGCAACAGGAAAAACAGGAATATTTACGCAACACCATTTTTCGAAGAAATCGATTTCTTGTTTTTAGTGTTACTTTAACAAAAATGACCGTAGATACATGAGTATTAACAAATTTGTGTAAGCATTTTTTGTACACTATACAATTTTCAAAATATTTTGATTTGTGTTGAACTATTTATAAGCATATTAAATGTTTGTTTATTATTTGTTTTTTTTAAACTCAAGTGTATAAAAAATGTTCACTTTGTCAAAAAACTTGAAAATATGATACAAGGTTCCTTGTAAGTTTTTGTTGATGGAAATTAAAAAAAAAATTGAGCGTAAATCCACAATAATTTTTTATGAGCATTTAAACTTCGAATTTTGACAAAATTCGTAAAAATCACGAAAATTAGCAAATTATATTTAGTTAGAAATTCATAAAAAATGTTCTATTTATGTCTAAGATTTAATAATTTAATACAAGATTCCTTACAAGTTTGTCTACCTTTATCAAAAAAACATTTCTACCCGATTATCAAATTATGATGGAGGGGATTAGATGCCCTTTTTCCATGTTTAAGATCTGTTAACCATACATTTTAATTTTAATAATCGATAAGTGCAAGCTAAAAAATCATATAAATTAAATGTACCAGTGAATAGGTACATAGGTATTTTTTTTTTTGCATAAAAATTTGGGGATGTGTCAAGCCTTCCCAAATACGGACTATACAAGCCTTCCAGTCTATTTCCCTTCGCCTAATAACATCTGCGCCATGGTACGTCTCAAACCTCTCACTACATAAGGATCTTAAAATTGACACAGTCTCTACAACAGCCAAAAACTACTACAAAAATGTACACACCAAAACACCTAACCACACTAATCCATTGATTTCCAACTTGGTCAGTGACTTCATGCCTAATAACCCCCCACGTCGACTAAAAAGACACTGATGTCGCAATCTCCTGAATCCCGAACTGCACTAATTAAAAAAAAAAAACTCTCTCCCCCAAGCTAGAGGATATCCACTGGTGGGCCTCCCCCCTCAAGCGAATCATGTTGTTTCTATATTATTATAAAATTTACTTATTGTATGTACATAAATATTACACATTGTATAAGTATTCTATTTTATCTAATAAAAAAAAAATGTATTTTTTTTCTGTTTATATGGACAAGAAGACATTCGCTACATCATGGATCTACGCTTAAGTCGAGAAAATTATAAGTGGCTACTGATCATAAACCTTAAAGCTACTATTTTATTTTATATATTTTTTTTTTTTATAGACAAGAACACTGAACAACTTTGTTATGTGCATAACAATAGCATTACGAGTGGCGTAACAACATCCCGTTATGATGTACCTATAGGTTATTTTGGATGACAAGCATGTATATTTACAATAATTTCTGTGATGTTTAGCTTTAGACTGAACACATTATGATATCGTACTCGTACCTGACATCTCAATTTAGTATGGACCACAATTAAAGATATACTTACAGACACTTAAGTAGTTTATTAACAATATTAAAAAAAGGAAGTAAAATAAGAAAATTCTGATTTCATCGACACTTTAAGCATACAAATATTAACATTTCTAAAAAAAATAAATCCAAAAAACTACATTCGTTGTTAATGTTTAAATGCGTATACCACTACAAAATATTTTTCAAAAAATCGGTCTTCTTAGTGCCCTTAGTGGACAATGTCCGTATTAAATGCCTTCAAATTACGAATCACTTTTCGACGCCGAGTGACTACACCGTAAGTAAAACGAAAATATTCCTCATATTCCTCGACATGCTATGCAATTACAGGAGCATCGTACAGTAGTTCGGTCCCGTGAAACACCACCACCTCAAGTAGTTGGTCACAGGCACGAATTAAGATATATAGGTATATATAGATATTAAGGTATATCTTAATTTATGGTCACAGGTAACCGCAAGATTACAACTCTTATCATTTTTCGAACACATTATCACTCCCGAGTCCCAACTTTTTATGTAGACCGTAGTACCGTACTTCATAGATAGTGCAGTATCATACCACAGATTAAATAAAGTTTTATTTAATCTGTGATCATACTCTCATATTCTATATTCTATACCTACTCTAGAGTCCAGAAGTCCAGACAATCCTCGTTTATATTATATATTATGCGTAAAATTGTTTACATGGGCAGTTAAACAGGCTACAATAACTCAATCCATATTCCATAGTATAATATGATCTAAGTCGTAGTTCCTGTCTCCTGTTGATAACGGTAATAACAATAATTTATAAATAATGAATTTATAATATTTAATCATGACATAATATATATACTGTAATATAATATATAATGCTTTATTCATGATTATAATCTGTTACCTATATTAGTAATTTAATTCATTTAAATTATTCATAATTAATTGTAGGTATAATTTAATTAATTTGAAGTTATATTTTCTATCTCTAAGAGTACTGAGGTTTATTTAATTCTAATATCAATTATAAAAGTAAGTCCACATCTCTCTCATGTGTAATTGGTTTGTTGTTAAAGAGGACACATAGTGGCAGCGCCAAGGCCAGGTCATTGCCCTCCCCAAAATATCCATGGTCCGCCCACTGGCCTGCTCTAAAATTTAAAGAAAATTGAAAATATTAAAATTTACATCAAAAGCAAGTTATCAAATATTTTTTGTCCTTTTTTAATTGATGCCGTACAAGGAGTCAAAAACATTATGTTATGTAGATAGTTAAAAGTACATTTAACAAGAAGTGTGGACTGTAGAGCAAAGATTTCACGCTTTATTATAGGTATTATATATTGGCCCTTGAGTAAAATTCATTGCCTCAAATTGAGCTTACCATATATAAATTCCTGACACCCTCCACTGAGGACACAATAGGTACTTGAATTCATCTAATTCACCTCACATACACAAGGGTGCATGACTAGGTTCATTTATGGTCTTGGACTCTGTTTTGTTTTAATTAATACTATAGTAAATCATCCTATATATTCAAAGATAAGAATTTAAAAAAATTGTTATGCTCTTGTAATATTGTCTGTTTAATTTTACTAAATTATGTATACTTAACATTTGATATTTGATATTTTTATAGCTAAAATTTAAAAAATACTTAGGTATCAATATGCCTGCATATTCTTTAATCGAATATAAGTTACGTCGTTATTTATATTTGGGACATAACTATTGTATATATGTTCCTCCTCCAATTCGAACTTCATTTTGGGATTTTAATCATCATGATGATGTTACTGGTGTGCGGATAATTGGAAAAATTGTTACAAAGAATAAAACTGAAGAGATTAATTCTATAGTTCCAATAATTTTAAAGGTTAGTTAATATCAAGTATTCAGTTATATTTTTAAGTATTGTATAATTGTATTAATTATAGATTAAAAAAGAAGATAAGCTTCTTGATGACCGGCTCCTGATTTTTACATTGGCTGTGTGTGCCAAATTTAATTTGAAATCATGTGTAAAAATGGTTGCAGATGCTTATGCAGCAGTCTCTACAATATGTACAGATGGATTAAAACTATTGATGTTTGTTAAATTCTGTGAAAGAGCTAATACCCTTCTTTCTGAGCAAGGTAAATATTTTTGAAAATGATAAATCTATGAGAATAACACATATTTTGTTTAGATTTTTTAACCATTACGTCTAATGGCCATGGTCGTGGTTTTACCAAATGTATGACTAACTGGTATTTAAGTAGAGATCCATTACTAACTACAGAACACATAGTAAGGCATAAATCTTATGAAGGTTGGAGTCATAAACATGTGATGAAACTAATTCATCTTCATTCCAATGAACCATGTAATTAAATTTAAAAATAATTATGACTATGTAAGTAGTTGAATTATTGATGATTCAAATAAATTTTAGGTCGTATTATGTACATTACTTACACTTTGAGTGGTATCGAAAAGGTTGAACAATTGTTTGGATCTAAAATGAAAGATGTTTGTATTGAAGATAGAGATGAAACATTTGAAAATAAGCAATTAAAATTTATTTACAATTTTTTAAATCAAGTAGAAAATTTAAATAAAATGGACGAAAGTACATTGCGGTATGAAATTGAATTAAATAGATGGGGTCATGAACCTGAAGTTATTCCACGAGAAATGCTAAGAAGTTCAACTGTGAGTTAAATCGCCTTTGTTTAATCTAGTCTAATTAGTTTTATGGACATTCAAATTTGTTTTAGATTTTAACTTCACTTGTTATGCATTTGCCATTAAAGAAAATTTTGGAGAATACATTTTTTTTTGCTAAAAACAGATTATTTCACAATTCAACACCTGATGTAGGACTTTGGGAGTATATTTTACGCTTCAACAATACAAGTCTATTAAAAAAATCACAAATTCATCCAATTGAACCGTTTATAGAATATGCTAAATATGCTAGAACAAGCATGTAAGTAACGTACAATTAACTTTTGTATATAATATTTTCAAATGTATTTAAAATGTACTAATTTCAGAAATATCTTGAAGTTGCAAAATAATATAATGAAAAAGGAAGAAAACTCTATAACTGAATCAATTGATGATAAATTAAAAGTGATAGTAGAGTTACAAAAAACATCAGATAAAGAAAAAGTTGTTATTCAACCAACTGCAGAAAATGATGAAACACAAACTCAAAACCAGAATGATCAAATTTGTAGTTCATCTTCAAGCAGTTATCAAAATACAAAACAGAATTCAACCAAATGTAAAAAGGTAAATTCAGCCGAAATAGCATTGGAAAAAAATCAAAGAGTCTTAGTCCAATTAACTGACAGTATCAATCGCATATCAACCTTAAATATCAACAGTCAACAAATTAATCCTGTATCAACACCAGGAGAAATAGTAGCGGATGAGATTCAATCAGAAGTTAATGATGTCAACCAAAACCAACCAAGTGTTTTATACTTGATAAAACCACTTCCAAAATTAGTAGACAAGCTGTTAACATTTTTATCTGAAGATTTGATAAAAAAAACTTGCGAAGTATTTACTTACAATTATTTTAATTTCTGAAATTGGAAATTTATTATTTTAATACATTTTTTTAGGTCTTAGATCCTTTAGGCCTTCGTATAATGATAACATATGACAGTCGAATGTGTATGAAGAAATCAATGTGTGCAAATTCACGATTGATCAGTGTGCATGAAGCTATTACATTAATAACATTATCTTTAATTTACCCAGAAAAATTAGAAAATAAACCAACTGTATATGGTTTAACTTCAGAAGTAAATTCATCTAAGGAAATTGAAATTGATTATAACCAACCTTTGACTTTTTCCTATTTAGAATCCATATTGTTCAAAGTAATTTTTTATTTTAACATAAATGATAAAACTTATAATTATGTTATACTAACTCAAATTTATTTTTTAGATACCTGATGGTTCAGACGCAGCAGATTCTGATAAAAAAGATATTCCTCAAGTTTATCCTCATCTTTCTTTTAAGTGGGCTAAAGAAAATAATAAAGAATTTGATGTATTTGTATTTTTGGGAAATAACAAAATGAATTTGAAACTTTTTAAAGGAAATATGAAAGGATATCGAGCACATTTTAAAATCCCAGTGAAGTAAGTATTTCTATAATATTAAAGTACAATATTGTATTAATTAAATTATTTTTTTAACTAGAGGATCCTCCACATTTGTTTATTGGTTAGATATAGGCAACTTTAATATAATTTTTAATTTTAAATATGTTTAAACATTCAGAGTAACTTATAAGTAGTCCTACCCCTACAGACCATCAAAAGTTACTAGATTATAAAGTAAAAACATTTTTGCTATGGAAATAACTGACAAGACCAAAGTCATAGATAAGATAAGCCGTCAAGAAGATAACTGCTTTGCTGTGCAGTAGGTGTAGAATGGACTTTTTCATTGAATAGGTCACTGTAATAGTGTAATATATGTGTTAAATTTAAATTCAATAATAAATCATTGTCAAAAATGATAAACAGTTCTGAGTGAAAACGGTCTAACTTATTGGTAATCAATGTTACCAAACAATTATTCATTTTTTTCCTCTGTTAAGTTACCGAGAATCTTATTTTTAGTACAATGCGTAATTTTCTAACAAAATCCTTCCTCAAAGTTGATGATCAGATCATTTTTTCTACTCGAAAAAGTATCTTTGAATGAAAAACTCATTACTTTCTAAAACCAAATTTTCACTGAAAAGTAAAAGATTTAATGTTCAATATTGTTTTGATTTTTATGATGACATGACTGCTAAAAAATTCTTCTCTTATTATGGTGAAATTCTAAGTTTCTTAACCCTTAAATTGTTGTACTTTGTGAATTACTTGAAGTGGTTGTGTGGGGTCTAATCATCCCCTGTGTATAAACACAAATTGGAATCTACTAATTTTCTTTTTTTTCAATAATACAATTTAATAATCAATAAAACCAACTGATAAATATGAAAAATGTATTTTAAGAACTTTTTAATTTAAAAATGTAATAGATCCTGTACAATCTAGCAAATTATAGGGCAATAGGCCGAGCCTTTCTTATAAAACAATTTGTGGACTTGTGGTATTCTCTTAAACTATATGTTTACTTTATTTAAAAAAATTAAACTAGAGCTTGCAATAGGTTCATAACCAGCCTCTATTAATCATTTTCTAACACCATAACCATACCAAAAGCATTATTTACTATTACTGATGACTAAAATATTAAGTGCTTTAAAAAACTGTGTAACACTGGTCGAATCCAATATTAATTTTTACTGTTTTGAAGTGACAGTATTTAAATTATTTTTGAAGATATATTTTAACACTCATCAATTCTAAATATGTGTTGGCAAATGAAAAAACCAAAGTTTTACCTGACTAGTTATAAACCAGTTTATTACTATTTACAATTTATTGTACTTAGTACTTACTATAGTTATATATTAATTCAACCACTAATTATATTTTTTTCAGAATCATTATACTTTGTCTAAATGGAAAGCATTATGAACAAATAAATCTAGGCCGAGGAAATATGTTATTTATTATTGGCTTTGATAAAAATGTGGGTAAACTAATAAATTCCTTTATAAAGGAAGATTTTTAAAAATTAAAATACATTTTGTTGTTTTAAGTTTAAGATGAATTCATTTTTTATTTGTATAACTTATTTCTTATTATACAGTTTTAAGTATAATACTCTATTAGTAACACTGGACTTAGTTTCAAATTGTCTCACTGGCCACTGCTATTAATAAACAGAAAGAGCTCTACATTTACATAATGTTGTTAATACAGTGTCTTGTATTAAAATTGTACTATGATACTATAATTATATCTAACATAGTAATGAAGTATTTTCTGTAACCAAACTATAATCATATTAATTATTTTTGTATTTCCCATTAAAACCGTCAATGTTATATTATTATCTATTCTTTATTGTTATAATGTCATTTTTATTAAATATAATATAATATAAAAATAATTTGTTTTATTATCCTAGAATTAAAATTATTTCTTAGCCAAGGTAATTTCTATGAGGTTGGGGTATTATAAAGCTGTCAGGGACTCCCGAAGAGAGGGAATAATATTTGATTGTATTATTTTTTTATAATTTTAGTTTATCATGTTAATACTGCCAAAAAACGGCCACAATTTGTTAATAGTAACCTAACCTAATTATAACGTCCATAGGTACTAATTAAAAGTATGAATTATTTTTGTAACTTTGGATTTAGCCCCCCTCCCCTGTTCAAATGGTGCTTTGGATTTCCAAGGAGAGATTTACTTGAGAGTAAGAAAATATTATTTAAGTGTGTTGATAGTTTTGAGTGGAATCTGTAATAATATTCAGTTGTCATAATGTTTCGATTATTAAATTGTTGTGAAGACGTGTATCCTTGGAAAATGCCCGGGTGCTACCAAAATATATACTTAGTCATACAAGGGGCTTATCCCCCTGGGTGCTAAAGTGACTGGTCGAACAGATATTTGATTGTAGAACCTTCGTGGTATGGATTTGTGAAGGTTTGGCACATCCCTAATATCATATAGCTTATATTTTTGTTATTTGGACTTTCCCCCCTAGGATTTTAGCGGTACTGGACGTTTCCTCTCTGAATCAATAAATATTTATTTATACACATAATAAAAAATTGGAAAATAGGTTCTTTGGTTTTATCTGAAATATATGATCATCTAACGAATATCATCATTCACTTAATGGATTTATTGCCAAATTTAATGGGTAATAATTGATAAACCAAAGTTATGTAAAAGTATTTACGAATTATATTTATACACGCATTTAACAACTTTTATGATTATTTAATGAAAAATCTCGTAAACAGTACATACATTAATTTATTTGTATTTGTAATTTGTATATTGTTAAATAGATTTTTAATATTTGTATTTGTAATTTATTAAATATATTTGTATTATTTATATTAGTGCATTTTGTATTGGCAATAGTGTTATCATAACGTATTATTGAATTATATTAATATTTATTTATTTATTTAATTATATTATTAATTTAATCATTTGTAAGTTTATTGATTTGAATTGCGTATTATTGTTTAATTTTTTTTCCGGCTGGAAATNGGGGGGGGGGGGAAGGACGTCCTAAATTCCATATTTTTATATAAGCCAAGCAAGTGAGACCCTCAGTTCACACCACTGAGCATATTATTAAAAATCATTTGGAAATGCGGACGGATTGGTTAGGCGAACTACTTTGAAAAAATTTGCCTACTGCTACTGTTCTTTATTCTAGAGGCCGGTCGTGTGAGTTTGGTTGAAAATAAATTCATGTTTAAAATATGATTAGCTGGGTACCCATAAGTTCGTTACAATTTTAGACGAAATTCTGGGCCACTTCAATGGCGAAACGATTAAACGAACCTAAAATAACCCATAAACAACCAAAAATTGATCCACCACCCACCTTCTTACTAACTATTTTTAATAAACACAAGTACTATTAGCATTACTATTACTATTTGCCTACTATGATTATTATTATCAAGTAATTGTTTTTCACTTTTATATTAAACAACCACCCACCCACCTGCCCTTAAATACCCCTAAACATTTAAAAAAATCGAAAGCAACTTATTCTCAAAGATCATGTTCGTTTCGCCACTGGGCCAGTGAATATCAAAATGGGCCTCTTAAGTCTTAGAATAAGTAAAAATCTCGATGCGCCGATACCTACATACCAATCAGGCCCAGTAGCGCCGGGATATAATACTATTTGAAGCAATTGCTTCATGTCTAACATAGGTGCTTCTAAGACTCAAAAAGTTCCCGCCACCACTGAATTCAGGCCCAGTTTGTAAACAAGATTTAAGATAGTTAGTATATAGTATAAGGAATAATTATTTCTAACACTACGGTAAAGTTGTTTAAGAATTAAGATACCTACTACTAAGTAATAATACTATCTTAAAATTGAAATTCTTGAAATTGTGCTTGGAAGTTGAAGTTAAAAAGCTCGCGACTCGCAGTGTGACCGTTTACGAAGATAATACTTAGTTCCATAACATTGTTTTCTTTTTCCATATTTTTACTAGGTATCAAAATTAAATTATCAAAACAATCACCACAATACGAATCACGATTGAGATTTGAGATATTAAAAATATTATTATTTTATAAAATTACAAACATTTATCGAATATAAATAATATAATATAATAAAATTATAACTACTTACCATATTCTCGTCATATTGTTCCTTATTTACCCGATTAAAGTATCCTATTCGAGTGTTCGAACAATTGTACACTAAGAGAATGCTAAATATGTATTAAGACAACCTCCTCGCCACCTTTCGAAAATGTATTGGATCTATAATTTTTAACGTTAAACCTCAAATGTAACTACAGTAACTGTAGTTTCTTCGACACGACCGGCAAGATGCTTTTTTATCTAATACCTATCCATATTTTTGACAATCAGTCATACAATATGCCTTCGTTGGACGGTAAAACTAACCAGTACAGACCGTGAAGCGGAGTATACGATTTTGCTGTTTGCATAATATGGGCTGTGGTCCTAGTCATTTCGGAATCTCATATTCCAGAAAGACCAAGAAGAAAAAAAACAAGCACAAAGAATCTGGTAATTTATATTATTTACGTTTTTATTTTCTGTATTTCACTTTTTACAATCCATAAACAAACACTTACATTGGTATACCAACTTGTATTAGTATTTAGGATAGTACTCAATTCAAATTTTCAAAAACTTGCATTGTGTATCTAAATACCTAATATAATATATTATTAAGTACTATGATATAGTAGATAATCATTTGTAAGAAAATGTATTTTTTAATTAATTTAAACATGCATTCAGGCTTGTTACCAAGATGTTTTTAGAGGGGTGTTTTAATTTTATATTTAAATATAATGTGGGAGGCTCTACACATCCACTATTTTAGTCATCAATCTTCATATTAATAATATCAAATATTAACTAGAATCATATATGACAACATATTTTGTAGAAACCTTAATCATATGGTACATATAGACAGCCGATAGAGAGTTGTTTCCACAACCAAAACACTCCCCTGGTTATGCCACTACATGTATTATTGTACAATACATTTTTATATTTATAGATTGATGTATTGAAGATAACGACATACATTTGTACCACTCTATGTATAGTAATATTATTGAGTCTACTTTATTTTAATTTCATTCCCAGATTTAAATACTTTGTACTCAATTCAATGTTCGAGAGTATAAATAATTTTCCAGAAGGGGAATGTATTCATTCCTGGTCACCCTTAAATATTTATCTTTATAGCCTGTAAGCACACTACTATACTGTGTCAATTGAAATATTAATTTTATATTCATAAGATGCAATTAATAATTAATTCACACTTCATGCCATATTAAAGTCCAAGTATTATAACTTTGTTATTTTTTCAGATAAAATAGCATTAATGGCCCCAGTAGAAAAATATTTATAAATATCATAATATATACTATAATCCAACGATAGGCAACTAGCAGATCTTACTAGACAGAAAACCTGACTGTGAAACAGGGTTTTACAATTATTTTTGCCTTCATATTACTGTTATAAAAATACAGCAGTTTTACAAAGATTTTTTTCCCTGGGCCTCAATTATTTATTATTTTACTTTTTGGATTCCAATAGAAATTACTTGCCGACCCCTTCTATAAAAAAAATGATTATAAAAAAAAAAATACATTTAACAATAGATAAGTTCCTATTATATAATTTATATCAAAACAATATAGGTATTCAACATTTTATAAGACATTAATTTAACAATTTATTTTAAAATGTATTTACAACCATAACACAATTAAAATGTCTTATAACTGTTTGTTTTTTAGATGATGAAAAAAGTGAGGGCAGTGCTTATGAAAATCATGTTGAAGAACAAATACAGCTGACAAGTACACCGTCTGTAAACAATTTATGTGACATGTCTGAAATGGATGATTCAAGTCCACTACATCAACGTGTGTCATGTCCACAGTCTTCCACTTCGTTATTTGTCAATCCGTAAGCAACTATTTCTTTATTCATCATTAACTATTATAGAGTACTTATACATAATTCTATGTATAGACAATTATCTTCTAGTCAACTCAATTTCTTTAGAATGTTAGATGAAAAAATAGAAATGGTAAGTGATAATCAATCTACTATATTCTCATTTTGAAAAAAAATTATTATTATTATTTTCTATTAATACAATTTAAATTATATCTTAGGGTGCAGATTATACGCAAACTATTGAAGAACAACGTTTGGAAAAAATTCATCGTACGCATGCATTATTAATGGAATGGGAACGAGCACGAATTCGCAATTCTCCAAAACCTTGCTCAAACTCTAGATCCCGTTTTATACGCAACCCACGACAACCACAATTTCGAGTTTCCCATTCGGTTGTTCAATTTGACCAAGAACAAGGTGCTTTCCATACTGAACTCATATGAAGTACAAAATGTATTATTTATTTTAACATACTAATAGGCATTTTCATAATATTTTACATTTATCGGTGAAGTATTGTAGATACATATTGTTGAATGGTATTAATTTATTACAGTATTAATGGCGGTTAAAATAATTTAAAGTAATATAAATAAGTAATTATTTACAGAATAAAATAGAACTTGGGCGTTGGTGAAGATCTATCAAAAATTGTTTAATTATAAAAGTATTGGTCAAAGTCCTCTATATTTTAACTAAATTTATTGTGATGATAATGCTTGATATTTTCAGACTGATCATCATTTATTGTTCTTTATTATGTATTGAATCTCTTTATAATAATATTTTAATATTTAAAATATTGTTTCATGTTATTGATGTTAAATGTCTATTATTTTGAAAGAATTGCAGCTAATATTTTACCCATAAGACTTGAAATGTGCTATAATTTAAATATTACTAATAGTTATAACCTAGTTTAGTACTGTTTTCCTGTAGTCTGTTTGCCAAAGCCTTATTATTAAATTAATTAAGTGTATATTTTTAATCATTACTTAATATTAGTAAATTGGTGCGTGCAATATAACATCTGATATAAATTCTATAAGATTGTGTATTAGACTATAGCTGATCAACTATTACACTTGTTATTCTATAATTTTTTAACACTGAATAGTGAATACTATGCATTATTCCTATAATTTTATTTTTTATGTCCATTTGTTTTGTTGGTCAGTATTGTATCAAGGAAATTAAGTTAGTAAAAACATAAATCATTAAAATTTTAAAAACCTACATGTTAATTGTAAAGTACAATCACAAGTAGGCTTAATACAAATTGTCCTAGTCATTAAATATTAATAGATGAATTCTATAAGGTCTTTGTATTGTTTACTATTGTTACTCATTATTTAATATTAGCATTTAATTACACTATATGTGTAAGTTGTTTTTTGTTAAGTACATGGAAATATTTACTCGTAATCTAAACTAAATATTATGTTGATTTTACTTCTTAAAAATTAAATACTTTAAAGTTTAAGAAAAAGTAGCTAGTTCTGATTATTTATACGTTTATAATTTTTGCTTAGGAATTTATCACTTAATAATTAACCTTTGTGAGTAATATTTATGTTTTTTTTTATTTATGAGTGTTTTTTTATACTAATTCATCATAATGTTGTGTTTTCATAAGTGTAACTAATCTCAACTATAATAATCCTAAATTCAATTCTTATCAATATTTATTTTAGAAGTACATCTAAATTTTGGGCCATCATTTCATAAAAATGTTTCCATAGTTGGATTAAATTTATCATAGCTACTTAAATTGCCTGTTCAACTATTGAATCTCAATTGCTTTAGTTTATTACCATCTAGTTTATTGTAATTATGATAGTAAATTTGTAGCGTTGGTGTTTTTACTTGCTACATTTACAATTTTTATTGATATTGTATCATAATGATAAAATTATCTATGCCCATGGCAAGCTATGCATTAAGATGTTATACTAAATTATTATAAGATAAAATTACAGTTATTGAACTTATTACATATTTTTATTATTGTATATTAAAATAAAACAAAGGCTGTGAGTCAGAGTAATTTCAAAGTTTTCCTTATATTTAACATGTATTAATTAATATATGACTGATTTTTTTTGTCCTTTAATTTACCTAGATTAAAACAGTATTTTGTAAATTATAATTTACTCTCTCAAAAATTTTTAAATGTTTGTGGTTTTGTGTGTAAAATAAATTTTGTTTGGATTTGCTATTGTTTTTATGAGTTGAAACTTAAAATGTATGTCTATTGTTTTCTAATAACAAATAAATAATCAACTAGGAGTGTCCAACAAATTTATATCTACATTTAATATTTGCTTATTGGTGATCAAGAACTCAATATGTATTATTTTTATAGATTGTACAGACCTTTTTAAAGGGCTATGGTTATTTTAGAAAAATGTGCCATGTACCATTACTACTGTACCATACCAGGGTTGTATACTTATATGTGCCATACCAAAATATTGTCCAGTATAATACATTTACTAACTTACATTAACTATTTATAATTATCTACCACATAACATCATTCAACATTCCACAGTCTAATATTATAACTAATTATTATAAATTTTAAATTTATAGCATTGGCTACCAAGAAAAATTGTAGAAAATAATAAATGTCATGGAGGTTTACAAAGTTTAACAGTTACCAAATATTTTGACATAATCCTAAAATTAAATTCAGATAACTATGTATTTATCATTGTGTTTGGTTAAAACATGAAATGTTAAAATTACATGGGTTTCGGATTTTAAAGTTTAACCCTATCATATTTACAAAGCTATAATTATCGCTATGAAATTTTTCCGTTTTTATATTACGCATATTACAAGAGTTTTCTAATAACATTTTTTATGGTGAGTGGATCTTAAATTTTTCCTTGTAGAGCAATGAATAAATTGACTTTACCATGATGTATTTATGTATAGTTTTTTTTTTTTTGTAATCATCACTTTTTGAAGCCATCAAAAGCTTCAATTTTCAACTTCTAAATTTTTTCTGATAGGAATTAAATCTAATTTGTACTTGTGGAGGGGAAGGATAATTAATAAATAATTGGAAAAATCTGAAATTATTACTTATAACGATTAACAATTGTTTGACAAGATCGATTTTATTGTTTTCTTGTAATTCAAAAATGAATTATGGTAGGTACTTGAAATTTTCACTAAATATTGTACATAATAATAACAATATAATAATACTCCCAAAATAAAATGGGTAGTTATAGTACCTATACTGTATACAGTATAGTTTTCATAAAAGTTTCCCGTAATTTGTTAATGCCGGAATTAAGAATTAAAGGTTGAGAGTAAATCTACAGTAATTTTTAATGAGCAATGAGAGTTTTAAATTAGAATTTTGATAAAATTCATAAATATTATCTACATTTTCAAATAATTTTGTAATTGAACATTTTTTTTTATATTTTTACCAGAAATATACAATCTATATCCACTATTAAGCACAATAAATATATGTGAGATTAGGGTAACAAAACATTATGGAGTAACGTGAATAAGAAGCCACCCATCAGTAGCACTTAGCTTGTTTATTGCGTAATTACTAATTACTATTAATTATAACTTAGAATTAAGTTAGATGATCCCTACACCATTTCCTTTTTAGCCTGTGGCGTGGATTTCCAGGAAGTGACGGAATATGTAATCCTTTTATTAAAAGATTTTCATGGTTTACTAATTTGTTATAAAATCGTTGATAGAAAATAGCAGCTTCTTCTTTAGCTATTTTTATACCTAGGTCTTTGTGGAGGGTCATGTTGGAGACGAAGGGTGGTGCATTTGTGATTTTATGGAGGGTGATATTTTGGAAATGTCATGAGTAGGTATAGGTAAATTATTTACAGTTTGTTAGGGCAAAGTCCGTGTCTTAGGGTGAAAGTTGTGTGAATGGATTTTTTGTTGTTCAATTTAATTTTCCATTTGGCATACCATTCTGAGAGTAGATTTAAGTGGAATTGTAAATTTCTTGAGGCAATTAATGGATCATTATGCACTGACAATATGATTTTATCATCAGCATAATCAGCAACAATAGTATTTTGTGTAGAAGGGTAATTGAAAATTTAAAAACAATTTTATTTTCATACTTTATAACTTTATAAGGTTCGAACATTTTATACGCTACTTACCTACCTAGTAGCTTACTAAAAAAAGGTATTTGAAATTTTGAATTTATTTAGTTTTTTTTGTTTAAGGTCTTGATAAAAATGTTTAGGCTTAGTCAAAAAACTTGAGCAAATTATACGATATCCCATACTTGCTGTTATTTTATCAATTAAAAAAAATTTAAGATACATGACCATGATTTTGTTTTATTTGTGGTTAAGTTTAAATTTAAAAAAAAAAAATTAAAAATCACAAAAGCTCAATATTTATCTAAATAATATATTATAATATACATTTATAGATAGGTATATTGAAGTTATTCAACACTACCTGCACAATTACATTTTCTAAATATATTAATTATATGCATTCATTTGAAGCTATTGCCTATTTGATATCCACCATATAGGAATCGCGGAAAAGAAGTCCCGACAAAAAAGCTGCCACACTAGGAAAAAGTAAATCAACTAAAAAAGTCTGAAGTAATAAATACAATAATACCTGAATAATTATTATAATAATGCAATTTAAAATATAATATTTTAATCACAACTGTTTCTTATGTTATGACTTACAGCTAAGCTTAAGTTTTTTATTTTTGTCCTAGAAATAAGATTTCCATTCCCTTGATGCACATGATCATTATGCACAGAAATAAAAGTTGGGTGGTTACATCTAAATCAGTTTTTAAAAAACACAGACACTTCATAGAGCTATTTTTTTAGCACCTCCAACGAATAAAATTAGAGCATTCTTTGTTGAAATTGAACATCCCATATACGCAACTTGGGGGTATTTTTTCTTAGAATTAATTGATTCCATTTTTAAATTCAAACTTACTTTTGAACTGTAAAAAATATAAAATTCTAAAACAAACGCTCACTCGTACTTGTATTTGTTACTTATTTCCTACATCATAATATTGAATTTTGATAGATATTATGCGGTATAGATAATAAATATATATTATAATATAGGTACCTAAATGTACAAGCAATTTATACATTTCACACTAAAATACAAAGTACAACTGTAGAACTGTACTAGAAAAAGTATTTCAGTAAATTTTTCACTTAACTTTTTTTCCTAGTATAGGATTTTTTTACCCGGACTTATTTTCGATTACCCCGTATACCTGGTACCTACCATGAATGACGAACTCGTCACACGCCGTTTGAAAGTCGGTATTGACTTAAAAGTTATACCTAATACTTAACGGCTAACAATAATAGAATATGAATGTATGATATACCATATACCTACATAAATATTAAATACCTATATAGCCATATAGGTACTATTATAATAAT